TCTAGGATCTTCCCCAGATATTGATGTCAGGCTGATTGGTCTGTAGTTTCCTGGATCCACTTTCCCCCTTTTTTTGAATATGGGAACCATATCAGCTCTTTTCAAGTCCTCTGATATTACTACTGTGCTTCAAGATCTTTGAAAGATATTGTTCAGTAGTTGTGAGATCACATCTGCCAGCTCATTCAGAACTCTGAGATGTTATCCATCTGGTCCTCGTGATTTGAACTAATTTAGAGTGGATAGGTATTGTCTTACCAATTTTGACTTGTATTCCTAATCTATCTTTTACAATACCACTTTGATAGGTTGGAATATTTTTTTTTAATTTTATGTATATTGTTTTCCTCTTCAGTTTATACAATAGCTCTATTGTATTTCTTCCCTCAAGTACATTAAGCTTCCTTTCATATAAATTTAATTTATTGGATCTGTTTCTTACATTGAACTTCTACTGTAATTATTTTGCAGGTCAAATTCTATGATATATCTACTTACTTAAATTACAAGTTTAACCTTTTTTCTCTGTTCCACAGTTTTATCTTTTTCCTGCTTACTATACAGGTTGCATCCTTGTCAGCTCTAAACTTAACATCTGCTTTGCAGAGATGTGAATGCTGCTTTAAAAAAACAACACTAAAGTTTCTCATCCCCTAAAGTGGGTGTCGGCAACCCGTGGCTCCAGAGCCCCATGCAGTGGAAGGCTTTTTCATCCCCCTCTGTGGCTCCCTGTTGGCTGAACCCACCACTGGTTGGCCTCATCTCTTGCCTTCCCCTCCCAGTCACTCCTCGCCTGGCCTGAGAAGGTAAGGGCAGTGTAGGGGGATAGAGGTTTGCTTCATATTCCAGAGTGGGAGCAAAGCACCTCTGTACTTGCCTCATCTCATGGGTGCTTCTTCTGGCCCCTGTTGTTGCTGTGTGAACCTCAGTCACTCAAGGAGATGCAACTTGCTTTCCGCCCAGAGACACTGGCCCGGCCTGGCTGTGGCTGATGCTCTGCATAATAATGGGTTCCGGGAGGAGGAGGGGAAGCCATCTCCCCCATTGTTAAGCATTAATTGTGCTGCACAAGGCACTGTGAAAAGCACAGAAAAGAAAACACTAGGAGCCACAAAACCTGGGTAGGAGTTGCCCGGGCGGGTCATGTGCTTAAGTGGAGTGATGTCGAGTTGGCCTTGCCCATCCAGATTTTGTGGCTCCCGGTATTTGCTTTTCTGTGGGAAACAGGTCCAAATGGTCTTTGCATGTTTAAGGTTGCAGACCCTCCCCTAAAGTAAATGTCTTGGTTCTAAATTTTGATAGAAAGCTAAATCTATGGATCTAGCAATCTGTCAAAAGCACTTATCAGTTGCAACAATGTGATTGGGGGGTTTCCTACCAGATTGTGATGTTGAGAAAGGAGTTGTAAAGTCAGTGGGTTAAGCCAGTGGCTTTGATTTATGTGTCTTTCCCATCCTAAAATGGGATGCTACTATTTGGTAGCTAGATGGAATGATGGCTATTGAGACAGGGGGAAAGCAAATATTACACTAGTTTAGTTTTTTGCTAGTTCAAGGACAGATGAAGAGCACTAACTGAGTTACTGAGGAAAACTCATAGATATACCCTTTTAGAATATATTTGATATTCTATTCTTTTTCATATTCTAAATATTATAGTCATGATTTCATATGACCTTTTCTTGTCCATCTAAGTTTGTTATTCTTACAGCATTCAATTTTGCATGTTTTATTTCTACTGTAACTATTGCACATTCCTTGATTCATCACTATTTTTCCTTTCTAGACATTTTTCATCATACATTAGTTTCCCTAGTCATGAAAGCCCAGTTATTGGTATGCATTATAGAATTGGAATTATTAATATCTTTGTATTACTCATAAAAGACAATATTGTGGATCAAAGATTTTTCTTCTTTTCTTATATTATAGTATACATGCTATGTGCTAGGATTCAGAAACTATTTAAGCTTTAAATGGGAACAGTGTGTTCCAAAGAGATGACTAAGCATATACAATCTGCCCAGTCCATAGTTTATTAGCCAACATTAGCACATAACCAAACTTTCTGGAAATAGTACTGAAAAGATCACCTCTGACTGATGAATCTCAGAATGGAGACCCTCTTGCATTAAAGTAGATGCACTGCTATAATTTCATTGGAATAGAATCAGGTCTTATGTTGTAAATGCCAGATACAACTAATATTCCAACCAAATCTAGTAAATGTGTTACAGTTTATAGGAGGACTTTAATCCACAGTTGATAGAGTAACATACCCAATTTGTGAACCTGATCCTTCAGAAAGAATACAATCCCACCAAAATTCTAAATACATTTTCAGCTACTCCTCCAGAAGTAGCACCTCTGTTGAATCTAAATTGTTCTTCAATCCACACAGTGAATATATGGAGGGAAAGGCGTTAATGAAAACCAGGTTGTGCTCAAGCATTTGCGCACACTTGCCTTTCATGTGATGACCTGGAGAACCAGATTTCTCATGTTGGGCAATTCTCTCTCTCATGTTTGTTTACATTTGAAAGTTAGCTTCAGCAAACAGATACCTTTAGCCCAAGAGGAATTTCTGTTTGATCATGCCGCTTCAAAATGTCAACACATCCAGGTCGAAGGCAATGTAGTTAGCAATGCATTTCTTCAATAAGTAATAGAGGCTGAATGAAATTTTGCTGATAGACTGTGGGTATGGGTGATAGAAAGGGTAATTAGCAATTAAATGTATGTGTGGGCTATTTCCCCCAAATGGAAGCAATAAAGCAGGAAAGATGATCTCTTTCTTTTATCTTCTTTCTTCATGAAACTATCTCTTAATTTCCTATTTTTAATTACATGGCTAAGCCATAAACATATATTATCATGAAGTCAATGTGTTTATTTTGCATCATATTCATCATGCTTAAATTATCTTCCAACATTTCAATAGAGCTCAATATAGTATACAAAAAAGAAGATATTCTTTAACAATAAATTATGGGTGGGTGAGGCACGTACAAGTATTCAAGTTAAGCATAAACTCTTAACATTTATAGTGGATTGAACCAGTTTTTATGCTGATAAAATGAACTCAGTAGAAACTGGCAGTATCTGATTGTCTGTTTTTAAAAAATAAGAATTGGAGCTGGTTTATATTTGAATGGGAGACCAACAGGAAATCTGAAGAGCACATCCTAATATGAGACGGTTTAAAAAATGTGGAAAAAGGCAATAGCTGATTACTTGTGTTTGCTGTCCAAAAAAAATATATGAGTGTCTCCATGAAGACTAGGGATTGAGCTTGACTCTGAGAACTTACTTAGATCCATTAAAATCAATGAAACAAATTCATGAAAACAAAATTTAGATCCAACACCATGTCAATGAACTGTTAGCACACACCCCACCTCTGAATAATCACATGATAAGCAAACATAAAGGCGCTCCTTAGATTCTTGTTTATGAATAGCTGCAGGAACAGAATACAAACTACAAGAATATCCCACCAACATTTGAGAAATCTTATTGAACCCTAGATAGAAAGATGATTTTTTATTATGAACAGGGATCAAATCTGAAGAGTAAAATAGTGACGATATATTCAAAATATGAAAATGTGTATTATGTTTATATGCATGTGTATATCTGAGTGATTATTAGACTAAATAAAAAAATGTATATTAAAATCGGTAGTACAAAATAAACTTCATAGTAAAAGTTTGATCTTTTTACAAAAATGTAAAAGAATGTATTTCACTAGTCTGTTTCTGAGAACATTAAACAGCATTGGAAAACAGCAAAATCTGTTTTATTCAAAGACTACTTGGTAGCACAAAATATAGGCATTTTCATTAAAATAATTTTTTTTAAAAAATTTGCTTTAATGATGATTCTGGTGTCAGTACTTGTTGTGTCTTTCTGGGACAGCAATTAAAAATAAGAGACCACTAAACTGAGCAGGGCCTGTGTAAACCATCACCATAGAACACAGGGAGGAAATATCGTTAGCCCAGACAATAGCAATACAGATACTCCTCAATTTACAACCATTTGTTTAGTAACTGTTTGAAGTTACAACAGTGCTGAAAAAAGTGACTTAGTGCCAGTCTTTGCACTTATGGCCATCACAGTGACCCCACAGTCATGTGATCAATATTCAGGCACTTGACAATCAGAATATATTTATAATAGTTGCAGCATCTTTGGTTTATGTGATCACCATTTGTGACCTTTCCAGCTAGCTTCCAACAAGCAGAATCAATGAGAGGAAGTCAGATTTACTTAACGACTGTATAGTTCACTTAATGACTGATATGGATCACTTAACAACTGTGACAGAAAAGGTCATAACTTTGGGCATGACTTATCTAATGATCAGCTCGCTTATCAACAGAAGTCCTAGTCCCAATTGTGCATATAAATGGACTGCCTATACTTTGAATTGGACATGTCAATGAATGTCACAAGAGGGACATTATACAATTATTATGATCCAGTCAGTAATCTACTTGCCACAATCATCTAGAAAGACTTTACTCTTCACAGTGCTACCATTTGGTATTAATTCATTAATTTATTTGGAGAGAAGGAGAGGAAGACGGAAAGACAGGCTGCTTCGAAAATAAACTCTACTTAGGAACTCAAACCTACTTCAGGGTTTTGGGTATATATGTGTGTTTTCCTCATTACTAATGAGGAAAAAGCAGAGTTCATATGCCCAGAAACACATTTGCCATTTTCTAGCATGTCTAAAATTTATCTCCGACAGCAAAAACTAATCCTGGAATTGAAACACGATGCTTATTTACGCCTGCGATTCATCTCTTGGTATTTGTGGGGAACTGAAAGTTGTTTCTCAATGTCCGATACGCAGAAAATATCTGCAGTACTGGCAAATAGTATATTTCACCAAGTGAAGGGATTAGACTCCTCCCTCCAGTTTCACCCAGCCCCCTCTAGGTATTTTGCTTCCCAATCTTTGCCCGTGGCATTGACCTATGAGAGTGTCCCATCAGGACAAGCTGCAGTTTAAGTCCAAGCTTTTGCTCATTACAACAAGTGAATAATCTGCTTCTACCTAGTTGGGATCTATGGCTTCCTATTCTCTCCCCTTTGGGGAGAAATATCTAGGAGAGAGAATCAAAGAGGTTACTTTGACCCTTTTATTCTTTACCTGTTTTTGGGGTGAGTAATCCTTTTTTTTTTTTTTTTAATTCTGCAACAAGCTAATGTATGTCCCAAAGGTGCTTTTTTTCTTTTCAGGAGGCAACTGGGCTTTCTTGTTTTTTCTTTTGAAGATGTTTCACTTCTCATCCAAGAAGCTTCTTCAGCTCTGACAGGATAATGTGGAATGAAAAGATTTATACTCTTTGCAGACAGCTGGTAAACTGCATCCTTTTAGAGGGTCATTGAACATTATCAGCTGCCTGCCAGAAGGATGCAGATTACCAGTTGTCTGCAAGGAGTATAAATCCTTTCATTCCACATTATCCTGTCAGAGCTGAAGAAGCTTCTTGGATGAGAAGCAAAATGTCTTCAAAAGAAAAAACAAGAAAGCCCAGTTGCCTCCTGAAAAAAAAAAAAAAAGCACCTTTGGGACAACCATGACCTGGATGACTGAAAATCTCTACAGATTTTAAGCTAATAGATGGTTGTTTCCTTTAGCCCTGGCTCCTTCTTCTGTTACAGGTGGTAACAGAGCAAGTTCCTTCTCCATCTGCCAATATGCACCTTGGTATATGTGTGTTTGTCTGTAAAGTACTTAATTGCTAGAAATCAATATAAGCCAGTTGTTAAAATAAACTAATTGTTGACTATTGATAACTTCCTGACTCTTTTCTGATGGACCTCTTGATGCCAGCTAGTCAAAGATTGTAATTTATGGTGACTTATGGTCTCACTAGCTAATTTATAATGGATGGTTTAGTGCTTGCTAGCTTTTCTATTATGTTTTTAATCAAGGGAACTTACCAGAATATAAACTTTCAAGGTAAAACCAAAGTGGGTAGAAGATGGATAAAGAGTTATTAGTGGCATATCTATTATCTGATGATTGCCAAAGTTCTTACAAAAAATGTTTACTAAATAAAGGCTAGTCTGATCCAGTAGCTGTTCTCAATGTTCTTTTTAAAAAGTACATGCTTAGAAATGCTTTCCACTAGTTTCTTATATTTTAACTACAGGTAGTCCTCGACTTACAACAGTTCATTTAGTGACCATTCAAAGTTACAATGGCAACTGAAAAAAGTTCTGTACAGCCATTTTTCATAGTTACGACCTTTGAAGCATCCCCATGATCATCTGATCAGATTTCAGATGCTTAGCAACTGATTCACACTTATGACTGTTGCTGTTTCCCAAGGTCATGTGATCACCTTTTGTAACCTTCTGACAAACAAAATCAAGGCGGAAGCTACATTCACTTAACAACCAGGCTACTAACTTATCAACTGCAGTGATTCACTTAACAATTGTGACAAGAAAGGTCGTAAAATGCAGCAAAACTCATTTAACAAATGTCTCACTTAACAACTGAAATTTTGTGCTCAGTTATAGTTGCAAGTCGAGGACTACCTGTCAATGATGATGATGATGATAAAGATGACAATGAAGATGATGACAATGATGATGATGATATTAATAGTGATAGCATTACTCACACAATACACTAAATAAACATTCACAGATTAGGCTATTAAATAAAGTTGTTCTAACTATTAGGTGATTATATATATATATATATATATATATATATATATATATGCATATTTTTTCTAGCCAGGTTTTACCTACGTAAGCTACGATGTTATGCAGCCCTGGATAGTTTACGTAGGTAAAACCTGGCTAGAAAGAATATGCACATAAAAGCCTACGAAAAAGAAAGAAAAAGATTATATATATATATATATTATATATATATTATATATATATATATATATATATATATAGACACACACATACATACATACATATATATATAGAAACCTGATAAAATTTTTATTGAGCCTGGCCACTAAAAATTAGAATTATGGTCAAGAAGTACATCAAAAGGCCCCTACAACTCATGAGTGAATAAAACGTGGATCAGATGGATCAGAAGTATTCCAATGTCATAAATCATGACTGCTTTTGCTTTTCTTTCTCATCCATTTTTTGTAGAATAGCATTTTGTCTGAAATGTGACAGGATGTCTTAAACTATTAGTCTTGGACTATATTGTCCATTTTGAACTATGTGGTTTCTAATGATCTGACAGAGAACCATTCTGGTGTTTAGATGAGTCTTTGTTAGCTTAGGGAAGATCATGCTGGCATGCAAATGATTAGCATATAGAATCCATATTCTGTTTATATTGTCTACATTTCATACTAGGAAGTTAGCAAGAGAAACAAAGGCATATAACCAACTTTTCAGCAGCCAGATAAATGACAAACAAATAATTGGTGGATTTTGCCATGGAGAAGTTCTTCCCCACTTCAGCATGGAGGAACTGAAATTAGATTGAAAGGGGTCATAAGTATACAAGGGAAAATAATTGAGGCTGCAAAAATCCAGTTGAAATTTGATGACAAGAAAGTGATATATTATGGTTTGGTGCATAATAATGGTTGGCTGGAATTTTGGAACCTAGATCTCACAGTTCTTGTAATGGAGGCAATGATGAAGTTTGCCCCCTTCCCTCAAGCTGATTTTAAGCTCTCACTGTACGTGTGTGTGTGTGTGTGTGTGTGTGTGTGTGTAAATAAACAAACATAAATAAAAACCTCAGTCTGAGGCTAGATTTTAGGAAATAGGACTTTCCAAATATTGTCATTTATTATTGGCCCTGATGTCTAAAGTTCTAAGGGCTCTTCTGCATCTTAATATGTTTTCCTCTAATTTCTCAGGCAATGGGAAGTATGTCAGTAGACTTTCTATTTTATCAGTTGTTAATCTCATTGGGTCCCTAAAATGAGGACAGCAACTGATTTCATGCAGGAAATCTAAAGAAAGTGATTGGTAAACTCCCTTGTGTCATCTGCCAGTTTGAAAGAAATAACCATTCATTGTTCTCTCCAAAATTGGAGGCAGATTGTGGTACATGGCTAAACTTTCTTAATCTCCCTAACATTGTTAGTGCTAGAAGAGGGTGGAGATTCCTCTCTATTTGACCTGACTGATAAGGCAAATCACTGTATGTAAAAAGAGAGCAAACCCCACACCCTTTTTGCACATTACTAGTTGAGTAATGAAATATCTGCAAGAAAACAACCAATCTCAGTGCCAAGAACCCCATAGTGTATATATGTGTGTCTATTGTCAGGTTTTAATCTTCAATTTGTAGGTGCACATACAGCTGGCAATGCAAGCAACTGTAGATTGTGAAGATGGGATTTACGATTATTTGAGTACAGGTTACTCTTTGAGAAGACTGATGATCCTGCATAAGAGCTTGTGAAATTTCAACAGTTTTGGGGGGCGATTGCTTGGACCATGCAGATCCAGACATCAGACAAATATTGGCAAGGAGCATTTCCTGTTAGCTAAATAAATAAATAAAATAAAAATGGGAGATAAAGAAAACATAGACTTTGATCATTGACTACAAGGTTGCCAAATTAGAACAGGCTCACAAACAAAATATGTCCAAGCCAAATTACCCAAAGGTTGGATCTGTATGTTATTATTTTACTTTTTTCCAAATAATTTCTAAACAGTGGCTACCAGGAATGGAGCTAAAAGTGGGATAATGACCAAGAGGACAATTTTGAATTCCAAATTAGCCCTAGAAAAATGCACTTCCCCAAGTCTGCTATGGGTATCAGTAACTTCCATTCCTAAGAATATGAAAAGGATTGAAAGTTTAAAAGGAAAAAAAACTTGTTTGCATTAATGCTCCTGTCTCTCCTTTCAGGCTGCCAAATAGAATAACTCTCTTTTTTTGTTATTTCTCTGTCTCGGTCAATATCTTTCTCTCTCCTCTAGCCTTTATCAGTCTAAATCAATTCATTGTAGGATGGAGTTCTTTTCACTTAAGACTATAGTCTGTAATCTGCTACATTAGCCCAGGTTATTAAGAGTGTATAGAAGCAAAGAATCATACCTCCATCTTCTTTCATAGGTTTTAGAAAAGCTGGCCAATGAAGTTTCTTCTCATGTGCACTTGTCAAAGATGTAAGATGTAAGACAACAGTTCTACTTGATATGAGGTTACATTCCTCAAACCACTTCTTCAGTGGTTCTAACTTTGCTCTTTTCTTTGACAAATTTCTCAAATTTCTCAAAACAAATTTACTGTATTGTACCTCTTAAAGCTTATGTCTTCCAGTTTTTTCCTGACAGAATTTTTCTTTTCTTTTTCCTTTTCTACAAACTGATTTAGCATTTCAGCAAAAAGTACGCCATTTTTTTTCTAACCTGGTACTTTCTAGAGGGCTCTAGATAGAAAAACTTCCTATCAAGATTTTTGAATGTGAGCATGGGTATCACAAATAAAACAAAATATATGAACAGAAAGGACAATATTTCTCTCCTAAGGCACCTCCCTTTTTAGTTTCAATACATTGCTGCAATGATCACTCAATGGCTGCACTCAAAACAGGAAGTCTCTCTGGCTCGCTCTCTCTCTCTCTCTCTCTCTCTGTCTCTCTCTCTCTGTGTGTGTTGTGTCAGGGAGATAGAGAGAGACAACTGAAGATGTGTATCAACTGAAGACAATTGGCAACTGAAGGTATCAACAAAAAATTCTCAACTATGCAAACAAGAACATTTTATCAGATTTTTTCTATCTAATACCATTGCTAAAATAGACCAAAAGAGGGAAACCCATTAACTCTTCTTGAATGACCCTAGTTCCTTGCCCCTTCTGTTTTTTTCACAATTAAGTATTTCTTTTATTTATATCTTTCTTTTTATTCAGAAGTGTAAGCTAGTGTATGCCATACTCTTCACTAGCCTATGTTATCATCACAATAATCTAGTATTTTTTTTCATTCATTCAGTAATTTTGACATCTTAAGGTGAATTGAACCTGGGACTCTCTACTCTCTCTACTCTCTCTACTCCTACCCCAAGCTCTGACACCTCACTACAGTACATTGGCTTTCAAATCTATTAATGATTTTTTTTTGTTTTGCTTTAAATTTGTCTTTCCCACTATGTTGTCTTTGCCATCAAGTTAGCTAACTAAGTCAAATCAGGGCTCC